GAAGCAAGTTTGGAGAACTGCTGAAGCTGCCCATGCTCGATCACCGGGATGATTGCAGCAAGTGGTTGTTTGGTCTGGATCTTGGCGACTTCAGTCAGTTGATTCTTGGTGATCATCACAATTCCTCCCTTCGCTCCAGTGAGCTGATGCCGGTGAACCTGAGGTACAACGGTCTTGTCTGCAAGTCTAAAGGGGTGATCAGCATCAAGCCGAAGGTCTTCCCATTTCGCCTGAGTCGACGGCAGTTTCTTGGCCCATGGGTCCCGAATCTGCAAGAGATCAACCGCAGGGTCAGTATGGACATCCATAGGTTGAGGCTGCTGAGAAGGAGAAGATGCCGAACCAGGAGTAAGGGCTCCTCCAGACGCAAATGCAGGCGTGAACCTTCCACGGAAGAGATCATGGAGGTACCAGATGGTGGCATCTTGGGCAAAGGCATGAAGACCAACAATGTGTGATGAGGCCCAAAGCTCATTCCCAAGCAAGATGGCTGCTGCCAAACGCGAATCATCCATAGCAGCGGCGATGCATTGTGTAATGGCAATCCCTGGTCTCGGCATTGTAACCTCAAGCTTGTAGAAAAGCTCAAAGAGCAGGGTCCATCCACACAGGCCAAGCTGAGTGTCACAAGGAAGGTGAATGAGCTGAAAATCACCTTCTCCAAACCCAGTGAGAATCTGAAGCTGGTCAACCAAACATTGGAGGTCATGAGCAAAATCAGTTGGCGCTAAGACCCAAGCAATGGTACGATCCTGTTGACGATGAAGTTCACAGGAAATCCAGTGTTGGTCAAACAAGATCAGAGAAATTGCCCTCCGATGGAAGCGGCAATCCTCCTTGTATCCACTGAAGGTGCACAACGTCTTGGCAATGGAGTTCCACATCATTGGGGCTGTGATTGCGATCTCTGGATGAGCAGTTCGAAGCAGTTGAAGAGCACAGTCCGCAACATCACTGCCAAGCCAACCCGGGAATTTGTGAAATTCGTCAACTCTTCGGTTCTGAAACTCCCTCACAAAGTGGTCGTATTCATCATAGTGCAGAACCCTGCCAGGGAGGGAAAGCGAGGGGCCTCGAGGCAGTTCCACATAGATGGCATGGTCAATGACCGGGGCTGCATGATTGTCATTGAGGGCGAGGTGATAGAAACATCCAAGGCGAATTTGTCGAGCAAAATGCCACAGAATGGGAGGAGCATCAGCAGCGATCCAATCCTCAACTGAGCTGGAAAGAACTTCATGGATGAGCGAGTACTTCCATTCAACAAAATCTTCAAGATCTTCTTCATATGACTTCAGCTGGTCATGCTGACCCAGTTTCTCAAACCATCGGTACAGCAAGGCCCACCCACACATGTGGAAGGGCTGAGGGAAAGCATGGACGAATGTCTGGATCTTCCGCCCTGTAGTGTCAAGGCGTCGAGCAAATATCTGTCCAAGTCGATGTGCCTTCAGACTGTCGACCCCAAGGAAGGTGATCTGCACATCGTCACTGACACGGGAGACCTCACAACCAATCCAGTGGGAGTCGACCAAGATGGCAAACCAAGTAGTAGACTCAGGGGCAACGTTCGGAAAGGAGAACGTGGTTTCGTCAAAGTCGGAGTCAATAGCATTCCATTGCAAGAGAGCAAAAGAAATGCACCGTTCCTCGTGGTCAGCGAGAAGCCATGACATGGCATACTTGATCTCGTCGGATGCACACCAGCCATTGGTATTGATGGCAAACTCGCATCGCTCTGACAGATTAGCGCCCGCTCTCAACTGCCAAACGACCTTCTCAGCCTCGGGGTGCCCACCAGCAAAGACCCTCTGGGTGTTCTCGACACGTCGAAGCTGGACATCTTGAAACACCGTGGTGAAGACATCTCCATCACAAACTTCATGAGATCGGTCCGCATTAAGGGTCACTCCATTGATGCGCTGGATAATGAGAGACTGTTCGTGACGAAGGATGACAGTGTGCGGGGTGACAAAGCCTTCAAGTTCCACAATTTGATAGTCAATGATGGAGGTGAGGTTCTCAAGGATGACACAAGGCTTGTTCGCCTCAGGGTTCTGGAGCACCCACCACTCGTGATGAGGAAGCCGAACAGACCTGCCACATAGCCTGCGGAATTGCCAATGTCGAAAGCCGAACTGATGCAAACAGTCATGGATCATCCGAAAGTCAGCAGATTGTGATCTGGAAGTCACAAAAACCAACTGGGGGTCAATGCAGCAGAGCACAGTAGGAATGACATCCTCCTGCAGACCAAAATAGCCACGGGCTGAGGCGTCCTCAAAGAACTTGATCAAGACCACAAAGTCGTTCTCCTTTGCACTCTCAAGTTCAAATGGGGCTGATGGAACCAAAATGGTCTCAATCTGGGCAACCGGAATGAAAGGACAAGTGGGCGACAGTAGAGGAATTTCATCTTCCTGATTGCCTTCTTCAAAGCAAATTGTAGCAACTTTGACAGCAGCCACACAGACATCCCAAGTCCAGGAAAGCAAAGTCAACTCGAAGATTGAGTCTGCAGCGGAGGCAACCACAAGCCCGTGTCTCAGCGAGAACTGTGAAGAGGCGTGTGGCTCAATCTGGATCATGCTGGACAACAGCTGGGTGACCGTCCAATCCCCGTTACAGCTTCCCACGAAGCTTGCAGGGCCATGCACACTGTCGAAAGTGAACTTCATGGGTGCACGAACACAGGAATCGGGTCGGAAAGAAAGTCTCTCAACAAGCGAGGAAACATGAACAATCGAAACAAAGTTCCCTTCATCAATGACAATGGCGTTCTGAGACGTGACACGCTTGTTCCAAACCTGGCAAACAATGCTCTCAATATCAAGGCAAGACCTGTTGATGGCTTGGAGCCCTACAAGCAGCGCGAGAGATGCCTGTGGGATCGAAATGGCGTTCCCAAGACCATGGAAGGCATCAAGTGGATTCGACGGAAGCGAAATCCTATTAACCCCTCCCAAGGCAGCAATCCGTGTCGGCTCAATCAAATGCATGGACCCTTCATTGACCATGAACGAAGCGAACAACCCTTTGGAAGCGACATGACTGGAGTCAAGTTCATGTTGTCTACCATACATGGCACAGAAAGTAGGAAGTGGTTCATTCAGAGCAACCGCTCTTTGCATAAGGACACTTTCCCGGTCTGCGTCAGGCGAAAGCCGAGCCTTCTTGGCAGGTGGAAGGAGATGATGAGCTCCATAAACCATCTTCATGTCTTCGGTCAGAACAAGGCCACGCAGAAACTCCTGAGGCAAGGCAAACGTGTACAACTGGCTGTGCCATGGAGAACGAAGGGGCTCATGAAGGTGATATACCTTACTGTTGGGCTCATGTTCATGGTCGGCTCGAATCCAAACCGACAGCCAACGGTCTCGCTTGGTATCCGAGAGCGAATGGAGAGACGAGATCTGCTGCCACACCCTTCTGAAACCCCCTAACTTGAGCAGGTGCGAAATCAAGCCAAAGTGCGAATGGTTGAGGATTTCATCAGCACATTCGAACATTTGGATGCTCGGGCGAAGGGCCAGAGTGATGATCACTGCCTCAACAAATGCGAAACCTGCATCTGAGTTCAATCCCTTCGAACGCCCTGCTTTGCTCCAAGAGACACACGGTGGCGATGCTGTACCAACAGAGTTCGAATGAAAGATCACCTGGTGCATCAAAGACCGATCATCAACAGGGGTACAAATTCCGAGGTGGCTTGCAGGATTCCATGGGAGCAAGTGTGAAGTCCTACCCAAATGATGAGGCCTGCCGACTTGCTGGGACCAAAGGCCCATAGTGACCGGATCACTATCGATGCAAACCTGTTGCCCAAGAGGAGGGAACAAAGGGTCCTTGAGGAGACATTCGATGGCTTGAGACCAACCTCCAAACGACCCTGAGAACAGATGAAACAAATTCATTGGCGAAGTCCTGACCCATCTCGCGGCTGGGATAATGCAGACGTCTTCGGCCAATGAGAACGAAGTCCCATTCTCACTTCCAATCCCTCCAAAGAACGTGAAGGAAAAGCCTTCACTCACTCGAACGGCTCGATCATTCAGTCGGGGGATATGCAGATCCCAGCACTCATTTGGTCCCTCTTCAAACCCAACACCCGGACTGAACCGGTGAGGGCAAATCACCAAGGAATTCTCATTGCAAGACACCACTTTTCCCTGAAACAAGCCCAGCCCAGAAAACCGAATAATGAAATCCGACCTTCCAAGAGCCTCAACAAGGTCGATCAACTTGGATCTCCAGGGTTCCTCAATTTTCTTGTGGATCATGTCAAGCACTCTAGACTGGATATTGTCATCGAACCACGACGAAGCCACACGTGGGCGCGCCATCACACGGACCGAGATGCCGCCACAGGGGATGGCCGCTTTGTAGACGTCGCACCTAGGCCTAAAGACAGCCTAGCCAGCGACCCTGGGTGTCTCGTGCACCCTGAGCTCTGCGGCTTTGAACCTGTAGAGCTAGTCTATTCTGTTCATTTTCGGTGGGAAAAACCAGGGTGTCCTGGTTGTGACCCACAGCCACATGTCCTTCACTCCCCACGCGCAAATTCTCGGTGGGAATGAGGTCAGTGACGCCCCAAAAAACTGTTCGTTCACCCCCCCAAGCCTCTGGGTGGGCTTGTCGGTGGCAAGGAAGCGACCTGGTTCTTCAGTGGGGATGGGCAAATGCAGTGCTCCGTGGCTCGCCACGGAGTGCTTAGCTCTGAGCTGGTTTAGACGGTTGAGACCACGGCTTGGATGGCAAGACACGGGAGAACTTCCGAGGCTGTTCACCGGGTTCGACCGATCCATTTGTTCGGCATGTTGCAGCCATCTACCGTAGGAGGGCCCAAGAGAACGGAACAAAATCCACTGGCGCGTTTGCAGGAATTTGGAGGATCCCTTATGCAACCATATGTAATCTTGTGTTTTCTATTGTATTTATATGTATATATGTATATATTATATTTATAATCTACATCTATTTTCCCTCTCGAAGAGCGCCAGGGCCATTTGTCGCCCTACATCTGGAGCCTGTTTGCATTCCCAGCTGAGAATGCTGCGAATGTGTGTGAGAGATACACCAGTCAAGAACGAACAGCTGGATGACGTCGGAAAGTAGCATAACGTCCATGTGCCACATGTGCAAATTGGCAAACGTCCACGTCTCTCAGCTCTTTGAGCATTCTTCTTGTTCAACTTGTCCATGTCCTTTTGGGAACCTTCACTCCTTCAAGCCCCTTTTCTGTGGCTGAGGCTGGTGGTCTACTACCTCCAGGTCGGACGCAAGGAAGGACCACAGCTGCCTCCGGTGAAGGAATTCCAGGCAACAGTGGTGTGCAAGAATGGGGATGGAAGAAAAGACTAGGCAGCAGATGGCAGAGGTTTTTCGGCTGTATAGGTGATTTGGCCTGGAAACTTAAGCCATTTCAAGCCCTGCAAGTCATTTGTGTCATGACTTGCCCAGTGAATTTCGGGTTTCTGGGAAGTCAGTGGAAGAGGCTAGCCGGTGCGCCTGCACCGGTCCGGTGCTCCCCTGACTGGCAGGCGATCTCCAACCTGCTCCCGAATCAAGGCAAGACGAAGACCTGGAACCCCAAGGAGAGTGAACGTGCTGCTGTTTGCATTTTTCATTCTTTGGATATTTCTCTTGGGACGATGGTGCTGAAACACACCAAAGCTAACGAGTGGAGCCAAAGAGTGTATTGGTTTTGGTGTCGCTGGGGACTCATTTTTGAGAGGCTGTCGTACTGTTAGAGGAGCTGCATCAAATGCATAATGCACTTCCAGAAATGAACAAAACACTCACGTACTTTAATAGTAGTCACAGCCGCGACGCAGGAAGTTTTTTTTTCTTCAGCACTGCTCACCTCGGCTCACCCCAAAGCCTGAAGTCCGAAGGTGTGAACATTGAAACACGGCCGACTCTTTTTGGAGGTGGTGTAAGCCATTTCCGCGAGTGGATGTCCGTTTTTCTTCTTTTCCTCGGCTGCAATGGTGCGGCATGTGTGGATGTTTTGATGTCTTGGTAGCCGAAGCTCTTTATCCTCCGGGCTCCAGCTCCATCCCTTTCCACCAGATCCAAGATTTGGAGGGTCCCATGAGTTGATCGAGATGAGTCCCATGATTTTGTAATCCTCAATGAATGTGGAACACATGTTGAAGGTTTTGCATCACAGATCACGGAGATTCTCCATCGCGATGGGATGGTTTTGCCGTTCCAATCTTTCGGACCACCAGACCTGCGGCTGGATGGAGCATCCGTTCCAGGACGCGACCTCTGTCCCAGCGGCAGAGCTTCTGAAAGGCTTCATGCACCTGGGCGAAGGGACTAGGATGGGAACTGTGAGAAGCTAGAGATTGGGAAGGGACTAGTGAATTAATTGATCAAGGTACCTTTGCAAAAACATCCACATTACTAGCTACGTCTCCCACAGACAGCTCTATCCCAGACCCCTGAAGAAGGGACACCGGGCGAACTTTGGACCTGATCATGTTTCACTTCGAGGCCACACCAGGGCGTTTGGCAGGGCCTCTTTGACATTTTGTTTTCGAAGGAATGCAGGTGGCAAGAAGGGTATGAGTCACACACTCATAATGCTCAAGATGCTTGCATGCAGCCTGAGCATCACCCACACCACCAGCTCCTCAAACAAAGCCTTCCATTTCATAGCGAGTCTTCGATGCTGACGCCTTGGCATTCTGCTCCAGAGTCTCAAGATTATGCAAATCTGAAGCAGTACGACGTTTTTTTCAGGAAGCAACATCGCTGGGGACAAAGTCAGAGAGTGCTAAAAGTCAGAGAGTGCTTTGTATCTCGTCTGAGTGTAACCATTGGAACACGTGTGCATGATGGTTCATGTCATGCCCAAATCATTCTTCAGGATTTCAGCGCCTTCTCAGGCTCGCTCACTGGAAAACCGGTGCGGTTTGTCGGCTGAGGCACTTCTACCACAACTTCGCATGGAAGCAGGAGGTGGGGGCTGCCAGGAGAGAAACTCGACCGAGTGTTTGGGTAGCGCACTCATCCCAGCGAGCCCCCTCCCAGCTGCTGCCTGATTGTAGCTGATTCAGTCTGATGGTTTGCTTGTCAGTCAAAAAGCACAAATGTAGATCCTACTAGAGCAGCTGCAAGATGTCAAAAGACGCCAGGTTCTAAGATGTCAGATGTAGAGGTTCGAGTTGTGGCGATGTCAGGGCACTAGGTTGACCTGAAGATGTTTGCCGAGGAGACTCTAGCTGTGGTTGAATCGTTGTTCCCTCGTGTGTGTGCTGGTGGATGTAGAAACAGAAGGGATCTCATTGGACCTCAAGATCGTTCTCAGCTGGAGCGCAGCAAGCTCTGGGACAGAACAAGGTCCGGCCGATCTTTCATCCAAAATCAAAGCTTCCCATCAACGATTTGGCGTCGTGACGAGCCAGACACAGGTCTTCAATTTGTCAATGGCCTTCCGCTACAAACGCGACAAGCTGGCCTGAAGTTGCTGGCCTGGGGCACGCCTGGAGGCTTCCAACTCCAACTCCGGTCATATCCTGGCTCATCTCTGGTCACTCTGGTCGTTCGCCTGCTTTTTTCACCGAAAGCGACGATGGACGCGCTCCCCTCCTCCTCCATCTACGGTTTGGCCGTTTTCCTGGGGGCCGGGCCATGACCAGCTACCATCTACTGATGTTTGGGCTGAAGTTCTTTGAGGCTTGCGACCGTGTCAATGTCGGGACAGCTGTGCTGTCGTTTACGGCAAGATCGGGCATGCTGGCCAGTGGAAGGCTGAATCAGTTGGAAGGGCCCGGCTGTGATTCAGACCCTCCCAAGGAGCCCTTGACCTGAGCTTAGCGGCGCTGGTTCTGAATCCAGTGGTGCACAGCCCGTAGGGCAGGTTTCCAAGATTTTCCGGCGAGTCTTGCAGTAACTTGTGCAGGATCTCGGTGCACGCTGTGCAGCGCGATTTGTACGGTGCACAAAATTCTGCTGAGGCATCGCGAAGAGGAAGTCATCAGTTGGTCTATCTACGGATCATCCAGGTCCAATCCTTTGATGTTGCCACGCAGTTTCCTTTGTGAAACTTGTTTCACAGACTGATGCCCAACACCAACTACATCATCAACATGATGCCGCATTGGTGCCACTGCCTTTTGAACCAACAAGTTTAAGTGCTATTGGGTTTGTTCTTGCAACCCCTGCCGTGTGGACGAACACCTTTTTCTGGATGAGCTGTCCTGATACGCTGGTTGTCCATATGTACCACTCAATCGTTCGTCTTTTGGCGAGGGCGTTTTGTTCGTCTATATCGTTCGTCTCATTCGGTTCATCACAACCCCAAAACCACCAAACGAACGATACGGTCAACACTCGCACGAATATGACGTGGTCTATCTGATCCCTGACGTCAAAGTGACGTCAAAGTCGGCATTGACTCCTCCTTGACCCATCCGAAACCAAAGGCTTCACACCTATTTTGCAAGGTGACCTGCAATCCATCGAATTGTTTCATATATATATATATATACATTCCAAAATCAAGCACCAGGCATTGGATTCCTTATATATTATATATACACAGGATTCCACAATCAAGCACCTTCATCCTCAACGCTTTGACGCAAGGCCATCGGTGTCCTACAGGGCCTTCGGGGTCCCATGCCCTTGTCCTTGCTGGGCGCCCCAAAAACAGCGCGTCCTTTGGCGTTGAGCGCTACGGTGAAACACGGGTGTCGACACGGTTGGGTTCTTGTTTGAAATGTGTTGATTGTCATGCAGTCATGCACATACTAGAAGAGGAAAGACACCTCTTTTGCATTCTGTGACCCTGTACTGTTCTGAAACACTGTAACACGGAGACATAGACCCATATCCAGAAGAAACGCTGGTCTCCCAGCGTTTCTTCTGTCGCCACGGTCGCAGGGCGACCGTGACCTAGAAATACGAACCTGCTCGTGCCGGTTCGAGGCCCATCCACATCATCGAGCACGAAGAGCAAAAGACCACGGAGTGTGGCCCCTGCATCGAGGACCGCAGCTCATCCGTGCTGTGGGAGTCGAGCTCCGTGGGAGATGAAGAGGCAGAAAAGCATCGGGCCTCCAAGGGGCCCCAGATGTGAACTAGAGTCAAAGAGGGACTAGGTTGGGAGTCCAAATCCGCTATCAAGCCATGATGGGTTAGGGCATGCAGGGCATGCAGGATGTACTGTAAGCATTTGTAAGCTAGGACCAGGTGAGCTACCTTTGGTACGCGAGCTACTGCAAGTCTGGATGTGAACTATGACAGTTGTGCGGGACATGAGTAGAAAATATTTCTTTATGCCTCAGCACCAGTGATTGAGCGCTTTTAGCAGGAGGATGCAGGAGCTATGCAATAGTTGTCACTCTAAAGACATCTAAAGTGATTCTTTACGAAGTGGGTGGACCTTGGCCAGATGCATAAGATGTTGGAGATCATGCCCAGGTCTCGCACTTTCTCCAGCTTTTTCTCCAGAAGAACGCAGACCCCTCAAGCGTTCAAGCGTTTAGATGGAAGACCAGCCACCCGGTTGTTTGGGACTTTGTTGCGCTGAACAGATTGCCGCCTGGCGGGCAGGATCCCTTTGCGCCCAAGAAGAACCTGGGCTCCTGTCGCGAGGATGCAGGGTCTTTTTTGGGGCCTTTGGGCAAAGATCAAGGTCTTTCCAGGATCTCCCAGTCACCTCTGTGGTAACTCATGGGAAGCAACCTACTGTAAGAGGAAGATGATCGAAACAGCTTCGCGTGTTATCGGACAGCTCCCAATCAACCTTTGGTTTGCACCACAGAATCCCTTCCTTAGCCGAAATTCCTGCTTTGCTCCGCCAGAGGGGTGCTTTCTGGGGGCCACTACCACCAGGCATGATTCTTCGATGATGTTCCCCATTTACTGTAATTGTTTTTGGGACGAGTCAGGCGAAGCCATCTATTGCTCGACGCCGCTGGGAGTGTGTTGGTCTCACCATCGGGAGCCTTCATGCCGTTGACCACTGGATTCACAAACCATTTCCATTGCTTGGACTTGGATGCCAACAAGGTGGTTTTCGGTTTTCTATGTTTTCCCCTTTCCGCCTGCACGTCTTGAGCGACGTCTTGAGCGGAAGTCTTGGAGCGAAGGTATGACCTGGTGGAGCTTCCGTCGCATGAAGGAGGAGTTGGCCAGGTGCGCGGACAGAAGTGGAAGCACAGAGCACCCCCCAAAAAAGGAGACACGTGTTCTGTTTTCCACGTGGTGCCGTGGTACCTCAAAAAGACCCTTGGTAAGAAGATCCGTAAATGAAAGACGCAGTGTCTATGTTTTCAGAAAGGCTTAACATGGGCTTTCTGAAGAGCCCCCCCCAAAAGAGTTTTTCTGCTTTGTAGGGTGTGAACTATGGAGGTGCAGGGGTATGCCAATAGAGCAACAATTGAGGCAATAGATCTAAAGAAGTCAGATCCAACCAGGCTGCCAGAGTATTCTGGAGTTGTCACTCCCGTGAGCTACCCACTAAGTCACTCACCCCAAAGCCTGGGCTTGTCGACCATGAACAAGACCTTGGTTTCAAACGCTCTAGGCATACCATCCATAATAGTCCCAAATACCTTTCTAAGCTCGCTCAAGCCTACCAGTACACCTGGTGCCACTGGGCCAAGCTCGGGGATTGGCAAGAATCGCAGGACCCCCTCCAAACCTTCCCAACATGAAAGTGAGGACCAGCATGGCCTTTGGGAGGATGATCTTTTCCTCTACGAAACCGGGAAACCAAAAATCCGCCGTTCCCTATATTTCCAGAAAAGGCCAACCCTCTTGGGAAGTATGCCCACTTCCCAAACGTTTAGTGGTAGAAGACTCAGAATGATCATATTTTCAATGAAAGAGAAAACATCTGGACCTGCTTCGCACGTCAGGGCGAACGACTTGCTGGACCGGGATACGTCGAAGCCTTGGGCTGGTAGCTTTGGTGGGTGCTTGCTGGGAGTCGGTGGTCAATGACAGGAAAATGGTACCAATGGGGGTGGTCTACACTTGATAAACTACAAAAGAGATGAGAAACCGCCCAAACTTCCCCTGATGAGGTGAGTACAGTGCAACACTCGAATGTCTTTGGTACCAAGAAAACACATCATCACATCACATCACATCACATCACATCACATCACATCACATCACA